GGAATAAGCCTCCGTTAAAACTTATTTTGATTGTCTCTTCCGAATTTTATAAAAAATCACGAAACCGCTCATTTTGTTTCCAGCCAAAGAAGCAAGGTCACCATTGGAGCTACGTCATTTAGTGGCTCTAGTAATTATGGCCACTCGAAGACGAAACTTCCCAATTGTCTCGACGTCCTTTTTGGAATAGTACCTTTTCCATGTCTTGCCCTGACAACAGTTAGCTTTACCAAACGCCACCAAGAAGCGACATTTCTGCAAAATGTGAAATAGCTTTAATTGAAAGAATTATTGAGTCAATTAACTGACGAAGTTAAACCAGCTTACATGTCAATAAGCATAATGTTCTTTTCAGCAATTTATTGGTTTTCACAGTGCACACTTTACGGCAGACACAAAGTAGAAAAATATATGCAACGTTTTTTTTTTTTAATTTACAATCAACTCCACACCTTTTTTGCTTGAGGTGAATATTGCTACAATATACCAAAGCATGTTAAGAGAAACAAAGTAAGTAATGAATAGATACATGCAAGCATTTTTATTTACAAATCAACTCCACATCTTTTTTGCTTACGGTGAATATGGCTACAAAATACGAAATCATGTTGACAGAAAAAAAGTAATGAATAGATACATGTATGCAAGGTTTTTTTTTTTTTTCATTTACAACAAACTCTACAACTTTGCCAGCGTGCTTACAGCAGCTTAGCGCGTTTGCGCGCCGACTTGACCTGCACATTCAAGGCACGCTCTCGCTGAAGGAATCTGGAATAGAAATGCATGCGCGTCACCAAAAAAAAAAAAAAGCTCCTTATCCGGTGAAAGCTCCTTATCCGCACGCGGGATGGCCTTATTCCAAAGCGAGCGAAGCGTCGCATCTTTGGGAGCCGAGAAGAAGTGCCTGTCCGTGTTGTTCTTGTCTGTGCTGTAGCCACTGGTACACCCGGGAACGAAGCAGGTCGGCATTGTCGGCCTCAGCCTCACATGCAGAGGCCCACAGCAATGAAATACAGTCGCTGGAAAATCACTAAACGTGCCACTAGAACGGCATCGCTCATTCAGCACTTCTGATTACGACCGCGCGAACAAGAAACGCCAAGGACCGGGGCACCAAATGCGCCGGCTACTGCGGCGCATAAGCGAAACCGCCAGCGAGCGCCCCGGCAACCGAGCCGGTTGCGACTGCAGCGCCACAGAGAGAAAGATCGGTGGTGGTTCCGGGCAGCGCCGGCCAGTTTTACAACTGAAAATAATCTAGTAACGTTGGGCCTCCCGGCTGTGCACAGGGTTGCTGTTGGGCATGTCATGCATGGCACAATTGATTGGGAAGTAAAATAAAACAGAAAACAGACGACAGCTGCACTTAGGAAGAGTAGTTACACTTGGAATTGTTTTGGGTTGTCCAGTGCCCTTCGCAGCTGCAGTGCCGTGAACTCAGTTACTATTTTCATTGTTGCCGTTATTGTTTTCTAATGCTTTAATTGCTGCAAGTGTACCAGGATTCTCATTTATTCCTCTATCGAGGGTGTTAAATCGGTGGATAAGGTATGACTCTCGTTGTTCACGTTCTCTGTTTGATTCAAATCCCGTCTCTAAGAGCGTTACTGATAGTTTGTCGAATGCATGGTCGGGAAGATTGAGATGTTTTGATAGAGGTAGACTTGGGGCTGATAGACTTGGGGCTGTCCCTCCATTGCGGATGTCGAGACCAAAAGCACTACACGACAGCACAACTACACCACTCCTCAAAGGGAAGCCTGCCGAACTACGAAACCGCGTCCCCCTATTGCGGACCCCGGAACTGCCAACGAACACGTTCGGCGGGAGCCCAACGCCGAAATCGTCCCCACAACGACGAAGGCCTGCCGGACATAACTACAACCTGCGCACCTCATCAGTGCCATCCCCGCACCCAAAAGAAGATTGACTTCTGAAATGTAAGTCCAGCTCATCGCTTCCCAGTTGCAGTGCCACTTTCCTTAAAGTACGAAAACTTGCTGACAAACGAATTAGACATGAAATACATAAATCAACATTGCAAGTGTACCTTCGTGCTAGAATAGCCCTCAAGGGTATGACACTCTCCCTCACACCAGCCGCTACAAATCTAGATGAACACGACCAAATAACATGGAAAAACGTCCTCCTTGAGGCATCTCTTAAATTAACAGAAATCGCTCTTCATCACAGTGATAATCAGGTAAAGAAACTGGTCGCTATGACCAACACCATTCTCCGCCACAACACTTTATCGAACGAAGAAATCACGCGATTAATAGAATTTGAACAGAATAAATACCAAGCCATCATGACCACAAAAATTCATAAACTCAAAAGAGACCATGTGCCCGAACCCGCGTTCCCTGATATAGTTCCTTATCACTACAACACCGCCACCCAGGAAATCACTAATGGTACAAACGAGCACCCATCTAGGAACACACCCTGTGACACTGTGGTTGTAAACTTATCGGACATGAGCTTGTCACCTGACGAAGAAAAACTGCTATCTAAGAGACGTATACCGCCTCAACATATTCCACGTTAACCTCTGTAGAAGGCAGGCTATTTTTGGCCACTGTGGCCTCACTCAGCGTGAATACTTTAGAGATCAAGAGTTGGCCCCTGAGGTTTTTCAGCACGTGAGCCGGATCAGCCATGAAAAAACGTTCCTTGCCATCCACGCACGGATGACGTATGGAACATACTGTCGAAGAATCTCTGTGACTTGAAAAGCCAAATTCCCTTCACATTGCGCGGTTCACGGAGCCCACATCAAATGTGACTACGCGAACATTCAGAGATATTTGACTGCACAGCTGTACTAGCTCCAATACATAGTTTTTCAGCAAACAACCATCGACGGTTCTCCCAGTCAATTCATAAGCGATAATTTGCTTCCACCTTTGGTTAGGGCCGCCTAACATAAATACAAGAGCGTGGTTCGCAGGCTCTTGAGGCTTCGGGGGAAGCGTTACTCCTCCAAGAAATGTGTCTTCAGCATGGTCTAGCTCGAACCCCGGCACTATCTTCATTTCGTCCAAAAAAAGGACGCTGTCCTTTTCGACATTCTCCATAGTCTCAGCTTTGCATTTCATAACATCGATCACTTCGTGAAGAATGCCTGGGAGGAACTTTAAATTTTGAATCCTTCGCGTGAGTGTTCTGTTGGATGGGAAAGGATATTCCATTTTTCTTAGCGTTTCATATCCTGTTGTACCACAAGCAAATTTAATTTGAAGGCCTTGCTTGATGGTGTGCGGAGACCAAGAGTTTCCCAAGCTGCTGCTTCTTGAGAGAGTGCGAACTTGATCATCATTCAGAAATTTCAAATTTTGCGAAATATTTGCTGCGTCACTCTCGAGTTCTTGCACTTTTTTTCTTGAGACTTTGGATTGTGTGCTTGGCAGAAGCATGATGCTTCTGAAGTTCAGTATACTTTCTAGTAAGGTCAGCAAGCTTCTTCTTCAGTTCTGCTGATTCTGCCGTAGCATTTGACGTTTCACCAGTACCCTTTGATGTTTCAATAGCCACATCATTGGCTTCTCCTGAATAAGAATCACTAGAGTTTGCTGACAGTTTTTACTGCGGCGTCGCTGAGTTCTATGGCGTCGTGTCCGTAACGCGACATTCCTTCCAGTGAAGATTCATGAACTGCATGGCTTAGTGGGGCCTCTCGCAGTATCTCAACTGTAGCTGGAGATTGACGTAGCCCCGGAGCAGACTTGCTGGTCTCTCCACCGGAGGGTGCCGGCACAGTTCTTTCCTTTGGTGGTCTTCTTTCCTTGGGCAGCGCTGCATGCAGAAACGTATGTATTTATAAATGTTTTCATGTAATGCCAATTTATGTCAAGCCTGTAGTTAGTTTTATAACGTAACAAATGCTACTGGTATCTGAATGGTCATTAAACCTAGGAAGATCATTCTTAAAGCTAGGAAGGTTGTTCCCCCAACCTTTTCTACTGGTATAGGGGAAAGCTTGTTTCACCCTATTAAGATTCAGTGAACCGTGGACTCTAAAGAGTACAGTCACATCCATCCATCCATCCATCCATCCATCCATCCATCCATCCATCCATCCATCCATCTATCTATCCATCCATCCATCCATCTATTCATCCATCCATCCATCCATCCATCCATCCATCCATCCATCCATCCATCCATCCATCCATCCATCCATCCATCTATTTATTCATCTACGCTAAATGGATGCATGAGTGTAGCTGTACCCTTTAGACTGAGCGGCGGTTAACGCCACCTAGCCGTAATACTTAGTGAACTAACCATTAGATTTATCTTTTTTTCTCTTTAAATAGTGACGTTGAGGATTTGTACTTTGCAGTGAAGGGTTTAATTTTCACTCGTGCCTTGACTTTAGCCACCAATCAGATAACCTTCTAGTTAAGCTTACCCGCTTAAAGTCTATTTTGCCCTCCTTGTCCCTAAGCCCCAGTGCTTTGAAAAACTCTGCGCCATCATCCTGAACTATAGGGATGGTGAAGCCCTTTACAGAACATTATCAAGTGTTCGGCAGTTTCTTCTTCCTCTCCACACGTACTGCATACCGTGTCTACGCCTTCGTATTTGGCCCGATATGTCTTGTTCACAATACTCCCGTCCTGGCCTCAAACAGTAGAGAACTATCCCGAGTATTATCATAGATCCTTTCTTTGGCAATTTTCTGCTTAAAAATTCGATAGATCTCTAGTGCGGACTCCTTAATCATGTTAATTCTCCACATGTCAGTCTCCGTTTGCTTCACTTTCTTCTTAACCAATAGTTCTTTTTGGTTTAGCCACCTGCTATTTTCTAAGTATTTACCAGTCAATTTCCTGGTTCGCTTCCTACATTTTGTATCGACATTCTTCATGTACAAGTAGCTGAAAACCTTCCTGGCTTCATGTACCTAGCTGAAAACCAAACGCCGCGGTTGATTTTTTCGCCCCCTACAGGTGATCACTTGAACTTGGGAGTTTCCGGGGCCTGACGTGCTTTGCAACCGGAAAGCGTCTCCGGCTGTGGCAAGTGGTAGTATGTAGGTGTTCCGTGATGGTTCGATCAGATTGGAGTAGTGGTGTGGCTTGGTTAGTGGGGGACGGACGGAACGGAGCGTATTCGATGGGGTAAAATCGTAAAACTCCAGCTCGATGAAGTTCGTCGCGTACTGGGCTCTGATCACGTCGTGCTTCACGTACGTTCGATGCTTCCGTTGCAGCTACGTCCCGCCAAAGATAGAAGACGTAAGTCTGTCGACCTCGCACGGCTTGTGGGTTTCCCCCGGTTTTTCTTCACTCGCAGGAGGTTCAATTGATTTGTTGACCTCGCGCGTCTAATGCATGCGTGATTACATGTGCTCAAAGAGCGACATCCGGGCTGCGCTCGCACCGTTATCGTGTTTACAGTCGTTATGGTGGCAGTTTCATTCTGCTTATTTGCTTTCAGTACGACTTGCCCTTTAACACTTTCAGGTGCTTAACCCGGTGCATTTGGAGCCTTCATCGCATGTAAGAAAACGGAGTATTAGCCAGCCCCTCAGAATTAAAGTATTCTACGATAAGAGTGTTTACAGGTGAGCATGTTCTATGACATTTTATTAAATGTCAGGTAATGTGCCGTGCAGTATTGCGTATAACATTTTTTTTTTCATCTACGAAAACGAAGCACTTGGCCGTATCAAACTGCAGCGCTGCGCTCATTTCCAGTCGAATTTTCAATCTCGATCTCTGTATATGTGACATCGGCTTGATTTTCAGGTTGCCGCCGGAGAAATTTGACATAATAAATGTGAGTTCGCGCCCGTATCACTTCTTATACTCGTCTATCCGCACTGCTGCAACAGTGTGAATCCTTCGTGATAGCAATGCCCAATTGCAGTATTTCCACATATTTTTCTTGCGTAGGACACGATCTTGCCAGAAGCACTTGCTTACTGGGAGAGGACTCTTATGGTCAGACCAACCCTAGTGCCTATAAGGTTGAACAGGTGAGGGGAAAAGAAAATATATGTGATGTATTTAGAAGGACGCCTATGACATACTCCAATTGAGCGCTTTGTTTGCGAACAGGAAATGTCCAAACAACCAAGCATTCTCACCTGACCAAGACCCCTACCTTTACTGCAACGAATATTGCGAGATTGAAACAACCTGTGGAGAGGTAGTCGTTCCTGAAGAGCACTTGGAGGTATGTGCGTAATACTTGGACAAGAAACTTCCTTCTTTTTACCAGTCTTGCCAATGATACGAACAAAAGGTTTTATAGAAGTTGATTATATAACGGCTCCTAAGCACGGTTGCATTACACTGTGGCACCAGGGGAGAAACCTCCCTGTCTTTGCTCCTTTTGCACCAGCCTTGCAGAGTATGTGACCGCACAGGACGCTACTGCCAGACGCTTGGGAGTGCTGGTCGAGGTATACCCGATGCAGACTTCGTGTTTTACGTGTCAGCCATGCAGACCGATCGCTGCTTCAAGGGCCAAACCGTTGCTTATGCGGCCCATTGCCAACAGGAAGCGTCAACCGATAGGTGCGCACATACCAGTGTCCTTTTCCCTTGAATGTCTTTTGTATCGTGATGTGACTGAGTTGGGCCTCGTGGCCCTGACTCATTTGGCACCTGCCTTGTGCTTTTAACATTGCAGCCTGTCGGATAGAAACATCCTTCACTTTTGCCCTTTGTAGGTAGTACAAGCCTGCAGGATATTTTCAAACATTTTTTACTTGAGACCCTTGTTGTATTCAAAGAGAGCCAGTAAGTTCTATAATGCTGTTTGTTCAAGGTTTATATGTCTATGTTATTTATTTTACTTTTAACAGAATGACTAAAAATTAAAATTTTGCTCCTCATACTTAGGCAACATTAGTTTTGAGGTAAGCTGCTTCATCTAAATAATTAAACAAGTGCCTGTAACCTGTGGAGGTAGATGCTCTCAGTGCCGTCATATAATAGGTTTTTACAATACTCCCTAAAAAAATTGTAGTATTCGTCCTTTATTTAGTTTATTAGTAGGCACTCTTTCTAGCAATTATGCAGACATCTTTGCAAGTGTTTCTTCCTCCTTTTACAATTTCAGCTCTTAGCCAAGACTTTTCTGTGCTAATATTTCTGTTAAGAGCAACTCAATATGTATCGGACGTAACAATTGTTTTAAAATTATATTTTGTATGAGATTACAGTAGCTAGTGTCTCACTTCAGTCTTGTTAGCTACACTTTTAACATATTGCTTGAGCAAATTGGATCACTCCTGAAATAAGCTGTCGGAACATCTAGTAGCTGTTTTTTTTTTTGTCGTTTCTCTCTCATTTTTTGATTATTAAATAATTTATCATGAGCTGTCACTCCATATTTAAAAATAATTGACTAGCTCAAGTCGAATTTGTTTGCACTAAGACAAACTTTACCCGCAAAATTTTGAACCCGTGCACTTTTGGCACAAAACGCACAGGAAACTGATATACTACTGTTCTCGTATCTGTAAGTTTAAAGGTACCTATGCAGAGAGAGCAATTTGTTTTTGTAGGTCAGTGCCTTCCTTAAAATACCAATCAATTCATCTCTCTCTACATTGTTTCATTGTGGGGCCTGGGTCTCTTTTCCAGACCTATTGCTGGACACGCCAACCTCTGCCCTAACTCAATCTCCACAAAGCCACAAGATATGGACACTCTACTCTCCACGGTCAAGCACGAAATTCTTCATGCCTTGGTAGGATCTCACATGTAGTAATACATACTAGCGCTGCAGTATTTCATGTTTCACATTCAATCTGTGTGTGGCGTGCCTCACTCCACAGGGTTTTTCGGTGAGTCTATATGCTTACTTTCGTGACAAATATGGCTACCCACTGACACCTCGAGAACGGAATGGAAAACCAGCGGTGAACAAAGAGTGAGTCAGATTGTCTTGGCTACATTTATGCCTCCCATGCCTGTTGTCCGGTATCAGATATTTCGTACTGTCACATACAAATAGCTGTGCTGAACTCGAGGTGCGTACATATTGGTCGGATTGATGCTGGAATTGTATGTATATTGGTTACACTGACGAAGTTATCATAGTTCACTGTATGTTGTAAGAGCAGTGTGAAGTTCTGAAAAAAAAAAAAGGGACCTTAGCATAACATTAGATAGGAGCAAATTGTCTTTAGAGAGTAGGCATTAAATGAGGCAATGATTTTTCTTAAAAATGTGTTTGCAGTAGAGATAGTGTAGATTTTTCTTAAAAATGTGTTTGCAGTAGAGATAGTGTAAAACATTTATATCAGTTTCAGAATTCTAGCTCAGCTACAAGAAACAACATGAATAATATCACAATTAAGCATTAGCTTCACCGCAATGCCTTTTAGTGCCAGACCAGACGTTTCATTTATGTAGACATTTCATTAGAGAGGAACAGAGAAATGCATGTCTATATTTCCTTTCCAAATCTTGGCTTGCTATGCTCTGCCATTGTGACATTGGTGAAGGGGTAGCTTGAAATTTTTACCTACCTGTAACAGTTTTGATTAGTATTACTTTTTGCTCTGCCTTTGATTTTCCCCCTTGGCTTAGTTCTTTGGCGGCTCACAAGGATGCTTCTTGCTTACGTTTCATTTCTTTTGTTTCAGAACTAGCTGTGATGCTCTTTCTGTTGCTTTAGGTAATGCATCTTTATGTTAATCTTCTAGCTATTTTAACTGTTTTTAGCTGTACGCCTAAGAGTGCTTTAGCATGCGTGGTTGCATTTATTTTTTTGGTTTCTCCTGGTTCATCACTATCTCAAAAACTTCTTGCACTTGCATCTTTCTAGCTCATTATCTTTCATGGTGTTCTCTCTATAAATAATTTATTTTCTACAAATCCTCTCCAGCTAATCACTTCTGGCTTGCATTGAAGACTTGAGTAAGCCTTGTGAGTAGCCCCATTGAAAGCATTGCTGTGGTTTACTTGTGACTTGAAAGGTTAATCATTTCTTTCATATTGCACCAGAACATAGTATTTTCGTTTTTGCAAGCAACGCATATACCAATGACAATTATTGTTATGTGACAAAAGGTGCCCCAAAAAGGCCTACTGTTTCAAGGGCCAGCAAACAACCCCATGGTCCCAAATTTGGGATAGGATGAAGTGATAACAGTTTTCCTGTACTGTGCAAACATAGTGCTGTAAGAAATTCAGTATCGAGGTCTGTAATAAGGAAGTTATCAGGTATAAAACAAACCTGCTTTGGCTTAAGTCCCTGAAGAATAGCTAAACTACGTCCATTTGTGTCAGTGTACAAGCACACCCTATCTCTGGTGTTTTGTAGATAGCAAATGAAGTCAATTGAGATGCAAAGCTGTTGAAACATGGCTACAAAAAAATGCTTGTGCCATTCTTCTGCTAGAGCGCTTGAGAGTGCTGTGGTTCTGAAAGGCAAAGTGAGAAAGATCTGCAAAATAAAGAACGTGATATAATGGTAAATATGACAATTTAGTGTGTACAGAAGCAAGGGGTGTATTTTCCTGGTGTCTGACAGTGTGAAGATATGCTAGTTAGCATGAAATGAAACACGAATAGGGTAGCGGCAAGCCTTTGCGATACACGCCGTTCAGTTATCACCATTGACAGGTGCGCATCCTGTTTGGCAGCTCTGCGCATATAAGCATGCCTGTGCACGGTGATGAGTGAAAGGTGTGCACTATACCATCGCGAAGACTTGATGCTGTCAGGGTTTTATTTGACAATGATAGACAGTACTCGAAAGTGCTTGCTCCCAAGGGCCACAGCACCACTGGAAACTCAGTGAGTGGTGTAGTGGTAATAAGAAATTGTGACTTCTTATGCCTGGACCCACAAAACTTCAAGGAGGTCACGCGAGTGCCATTCTATTTGTCCGTTTCGAGGGGTTGTTTACTTTATCAGTATGCGGTCGACTGCGCTTGATCCGGTTTGCGTGGTGATGCCAACTTGCTGTGGAAGAGGTTGCCAGGTGCAGCAGCAGAAAGATGTTTTTGAAACTATAGTTGAAAGATTTGTGGTTTTCTTCTAATGGGCACCATAGAGATGCTGCTGCAACTGCTAAAATAGGGGCAGAGGCAAAGGGAAGCAGTTGAGGCTACTTTATTTTTGGGGGGGACTTTAGCTTAGGCTGGTTCTAGTTTCTTGCTCATCCTTTCCACCGTTCTCAGCCGCACAGCGGTGTAGACAGAGCCCGTTGTCGGGACTATGTCCGTTTGAGCAATGTAACACGAAGACAGCAATTCAGCCCGCAGCCAATGACTGAGCAAGGCTTCCTCATGTCACTTGTGTGAGAGCAATGCGCTGAGGAAGTGAGTTGCAAGGGATGAGAGGCACTGGCAAGATAAACAAATGCGAGTGAAAACTCTACAGCCAATACCGTATCATTGCAGGGCCAAGATGCCCTTTCATAGTGCAGAGGATTAGTCGACGAAGTTGATGCCACGTAAAGTTGCCCATGGGAAAATTATACATTATGTCACTTCGCCTGCAAAAAGGACCAAACAGGCGCTTGTTTTTCAAAACTGTTTTTCGGAATTGACCACACTGTGATGTGGTATCAGCAAGATGTGAACGCCACGGCCTTCTGCATGAATTGGTCAACTTGTTTCAGAGGTGTTTAAAAAAAATGTTGAAGCCTGTTTACTGGCCCTTTAATAGGCATTTTTGTTTTGCAAGCTTATTATGAGAGCTTTCTACTGTACTATCTATTGTGAACTGCATCACATCATGTTTATGTGATTGTGTTGTCGTGACAAAAATGCACTTAACAGCAATGCCGGCAATATCTGATGTTTCCAGATTGCAGACTCACAAGTGGAGTGACCGTGTCATGAAAAAAGTTGTTAGGCATGACTGGAAGATACACGGTGGATCCATGAGAAAGGAATTCTGGATCATGGTTACACCTCGTGTTGTGGCAAGTGACTTGTGCTATATTTTCATGCTAGCACCTTCATCAGTAACTTAAAGAAAAGTGAAGTAAAAGTGCAGTAACGTCAGGCACAGCTGCATGGCATTGCCTATTCTTGTTATTGTCGAGCCCTTTCCGAGAGCTGGCTCAGCACATTACTTAAACAGTCAATGCCCGTTTTTTTCCTGTATACTTATACAAAAGTATTGAAGGCCATCATGTGACTGTTATCAACATTTGCATTTCTTTATTGTTTTTTCATCCTTGCACAAAGTTGCAGTTGGGGATGCGGATAGGCAGGGTGATATAGAATGAAAGAAACTACTACGTGAAGGAACGGGTATGGGTATCTTTGCAGGTTACTGCTTTTCTATTAACATTTTAGAGTGTGTGCTTGGTGTTGAAATTTGTAGTTGCCTTCCCTGGAAGCTGGCAGTGGTGGCTGTAGGTTGATTGGCAGGATGTGTTTTGCTGCCATTGACATGCGCCCATTTGCATTCATTTGCTGACAACATACTGCGTATGTCCACAGGCAGAAGTTAGGTTCCATTTCAACTGCTCAGAGCTGAAAGGTGCAGAGATGGAAGATCAAGGGGAGGACGGAACAAGGCTGACTCATTGGGAGAAGCGGTTGTTTGAGGTGAGAAAGTTGTTCGTTTGGCGAGAGACTCCATTACAAAAAAAGTTTCTGAAAGCAATTTTTTTTTTGCGAGGCTCTTGGATCACCTAATGGTGGTAGAAACATTTTTGGTGGTTGTGTGTGCAGGTGCGGCTTGATTGTGCTATGGCATGGAAAATGTAGAGATGGCTCTCGTGGTGAAATCGGTCTCAATGAGCAAATACCATCGCATATCGCCCGGGCTTTGTCTTCATTTGTGCAGTGACTTGTGAAGTTGTTTGTCAGGCAAATTTATAGTGGAGATAAGCATACTAGCAAATGACAAAAAGAAGGTTTGTCTATTCTGAAACTGTGATAGATTGTGCTCTTAAATTTGGAGTGCTTAAGTGACTGTCGACATTCATTGTAGCACTGTCGCATTTTAATCACCGGAATGCTTGCAAGGGATTGCATTGAGAGAGATGGAAGATGGGTGTGGCAAGACAAACTCACTTTATACATTGAATGGACGAAACAAATACACAAAATCGGTGTTTAGGTAAACAAGCTCACAAAGCGCGGCAATACAATAAAAAGCAAAACCAACAATAATCTACGTTAGGGTCGCCTCTAGCTCTTGGCAAACGATGGCCACTATGGCTTCTCTGCAATTCTTCACCGACGCTCGCTATCAAATTGAACGTTCCTACTGTTCGTGGTGGCGGTTCGTGACTACTACAAAGTTTCCTGTCATCAAAGTCCTGGCAGAGGTCTCGCAGTCATTATTGTTGGCCCACTTGTGCTTGCCGATCCACTTGTCTTCACTCGTGACCCGGTCGCCATGGGTCCCGGCAGCTCAGGCCTACCCGTCGACTTGTCGAAGTCCCGGCGATTGCCAGGTGGGTTTCAGCCATCTGTGAAGAAGGCGAAGAGCGGCAGGTGTCCCGGGAACTGCTGTTTAAAGGCGCTGCAGGGCCGAAGAGAGTCTCTTGGTAATTACCGTAAACGATGGCTGCCTTTCTGGACCCTGATACCACCACCTTCAGATCCGGCTTAAACAAGCCTTTGCCGCGAGAGTGACACTATCTTCTTCAACCTTCCTTGTCGGCTTTCCACAGGACAATGCCACCCCATCTTTTGCTGGTTTTTGACCACAGCTCAGGTCGCGTGCCACGGGCTTTCCTCTGACCAATCCCGTTTGTCAATGTGTCGTGTATGCGCACTATTCAGGTCTCGTGTGCCTTCGCCGCATTCCAGGCGTTTAGCGCGTCCCTCTTTACTCATTACAAGCACATCCTTCTTTACTCCTATCCAGGTATTGACATGAGCAGAAAGAGCAAGCCACAAGGGGATTGAGGGGACGGGATGAAGGGTTTGATAGTGCCTACAACAAAGTGAAGGGGCTCTCACCGAAAGACGTAATTTACTTTCAGGTGAATGTAGCGCAAGGCCTATGTGCATACATTGTGAAAAGACACAAGAAGAAAGACTTCCTTCTTGGGTACCAACTAACTGAGCTCTCTGCTATTCGTTTTGCATAGTTGTGCTTCCAGCTTCACATCGCATGTTGTGGTAACTAATCTATAGAGAAGTTTCAATACAACTTTGTTCATATGCCGAGGCATGGTCTTTCAAGTGTCTCTTGCTGCTTTGCACAGTTTTTGAAGGACCATTTCTTACATCTCTCAGAATGAAGCCATGACTGGAACTCATACCCAGAACCCTGTGTATTCAAGGATCACGTTGGCTCTCATGGAGGATACAGGGTAATGAGACGACATTATTTTACCCTATCTTTGGCTTTATTGTCACATAGCGATCCTGTTCTCGTTTTCTTTCGTAAGTGTAGTACAATAGAATCTTGTTGATACGTTTTTTACAAGAACTGTGAAATAAAATTTATTAAGGAGAAAAACATGCATACTCCATCAGTAACTCACCTTTATTGAGCAATGTTCTAGTAGCTAGTGAGTATGCATTCAACTTTCTTCTTTTTGCGGCAAAAGCATCGCCTGGCAGCGATCTTTTCACTGCAAGAGTGACGTAGCTGCAGCATCAGCGGCCAATCTGGAACATGCACATCGTGGCTTCATGGAACGCGATTTGAGCAAGTACTGTTTCGAAGAATAAACTTAAAATTTCAAAATATCATGATCAAGATTCGTTTTGCAGTCTAATTATGTGATCTTGGGCATTAATGGGATCATATTATAGCATGAAAATGCATTACTCGCAAGGGACTTTGTCCCCACCGCGGTGGTCTAGTGGCTAAGGTACTCGGCTGCTGAGGTCGCGGGATTGAATCCTGGCTGCGGCGACTGCATCTTTGATGGAGGCCAAAATGCTGTAGGTTTGTGTGCTCAGATTTGGGTGCACTTTAAAGAATCCCAGGTGGCCAAATTTCCAGAGCCCTCCACTATAGCATCTCTTGTAATCATATGGTGGTTTTGGGACGTTAAACCCCACATATAAATCAATGAAGCCAAGGGACCTTGGCTGTGAAATAAAAGAAAAACAAAATGTAACGCAAACTGAAATAGTGCAAAAGAAGAGAAAGGAAGAATGCTATGGCTATTTGGCAGTCTCGGTTGAGCGCTGGCCTTTCAGTGTAAATAAACCCATAACATCCGTGACAGCTTTGGTGGAGCGGTGCTGGGTAATTTGCCGTCCTGGACCATGCAGCAGAAGACCTTTGAAGAAGCAGACGCTCAGCTGGGCTACCCCCGGACAACATCAACATGACCGACGACACAGTAAGCCCATTGATAGGCTACGCTGCTGCATCCACCAGTGCCGCCGACATGACACAAAGTGGCCGTCGACCTCGACAACCTAACTACTGGGTGCCTGAACCACGGATATTCTCTGGTAAAACTGATGAAGACGTGAATGCTTGGCTAAAATACTACGACAGAGTGAGCCGCTACAACGGCGCGCTGGCGAAGCTCGTGCACGTAGTATTCTTCCTTGCCGGGACCACTCTGCTTTGGTTTGAGAACCATGGACATGTGCTCACCACTTGGGATATATTTGTTGAGGAACTTAAGGCCTGCTTTGGGGACACGAGTTCAATGAAAAAGAAAGCTGAGCAAACACTCTCACGTAGGGCTTAGCTGCCCGTCGAAACGTGCATGACCTACATTGAAGAGTTATTGAAGCTTTGCAGGATTGTCAACGTAAATATGTCTGACGAAGACAAAGTTGGCCATTTGTTAAAAGGCATCGCCAAGGAAGTGTTCAATTTTCTCATAATGAAAAAAAAACTTGAACACTCCTTCTGCGTTCAGGCAGCAGTGTCGGGCATTCGTGGCTATGAACACCCGGAGAATTTCACCTAAGTTCAGGGTGCTTGGACAATGTTCCCACTGTTGCAAGTATTGTCATCACCACCTGTGAAGACATTCCCTTCCTCTTACGCCGAGTAGTTCGAGAAGAGCTCGCATGGCTTCAAGCAGGTGACGCTCACTACCGATGCTGGTTCGCCGCATGCCCCGCACCACCTCCCTACTGGATGCGAGAGCGCCACGTCGAAAACCGACCACGCACAAAAACTGCAGATTTCACCCCACGGCTTCAGTCTTACCCTATGGGTCACAGTCACTACCGGATGTCATCATCTCGACGTGCCACTGCGGACCTCCGACCATTGTCAACCAGGCCTCTACTAGAAGACTACTATCCGTTGCCACGAAATGTTCCTGCAGAGCACAACCCGTCTCTGCGTACCTCTGCCACCTCTGCTCCTGCTAATGTTAGCCGACAAGTCCCCATTTGCTACACATGCGGCCTCCCAGGGCACATTCCGCGCTTCTGTCCCAGCCGGCCATTTTTCGACGTTTTTCGACATAGCTGGCTCGTATGCACGAAACCTGCACCTCTCACCTGGCCAACCACTGTCCCCAACAGCAATGGCCTAACGAATCGCACAGAGAGTCCTCCGCCTCCAAGTGAAGCCTGACATCATCTCCAACACGTTCCAGCCAGTTGTCGTCTCCGCGTCGTCAGTTTCCTTCTTCGCATCAGGTGGGAAACTAGCTGGTGCGACCGATGCATGGTGCAGTCGCGGGACGGTCAGTTTGGCCAATTCCTCCTTCTGCTGTGATGTTGATGAACAAAGTGCGTCTGTGTATAAACAGTATAGATACTCTTGCTCTTGTAGACACTGGTGCTGCTGTTTCGATTATGCATCCTCGTTTCAAGCATCATTTTCTGGGGCACAAAGTTATGTTCGCATGGGATCGTAAAAAAGCTTTTCATGGAATTGGAGGCAAAGTGTTATGCCCTGTTGGTATTTGCTCAGCAGTACTCATGATTGGGGGACAAAGTTTCCGAGTTGAATTCACTTTACTGGCTCGCGCAAGTCATGACATCATTTTAGAGATAGACCTCCTTCGTGAATGCAGCGCTATGCTTGACTGTGGAACTGGAGAAATTCTTCTACAAAGTACGTTGCCCATTGCCACAGTGGACGATTTTCTGACTTCCCCATCAACGCGCTTTTGTTGTGTGGGGCCTGGGTCTCTTTTCCAGACCTATTGCTGGACACGCCAACCTCTGCCCTAACTCAATCTCCACAAAGCCACAAGATATGGACACTCTACTCTCCACGGTCAAGCACGAAATTCTTCATGCCTTGGTAGGATCTCACATGTAGTAATACATACTAGCGCTGCAGTATTTCATGTTTCACATTCAATCTCACGTCGCTCAGGACCCTGCACTGGACTTGTTGAGCCCAATCATACAAACACCATCAAGAAAAATGTGCTGGTCCCACGGTTTGTCCTAACAACCATCCACGGACATGCTTGTTTATGGGCGCTCAACGCAGCCTCAGAGCCTGTTGTTCTACCAGCAGGATTTAAACTGGGAGCGTTTGATGAGAAGCAGGCCACAGTTGACATCAGAATGCTCTGAGTCTCCAGCCATCAGTCAGACTGCGCCTAACTACTCAGCCAAGATGAAACGCATGATCAACAAGTCGTTGCCTTCTTCCGAGCAGGATGACCTCGAGGAAGTGATTACACGCTACCCGGAAGTCTTTGATTTCGCTCAAGACAAGCGTTTTTCTGCTTTGCCCAAATGGCGTATGCACCACCGCATCAACACGGGAGATGCTACTCCGACACACCAGAAACCCTATCGCGTATCCCCATCAGAAAGGAAAGTGATCGCCGACCAGGTCAACGACATGCTTCAAAAAGGCATTATTAGGGAGTCAAGCAGTTTCTGGGCAGCTGCTGTCATATTGGTAAAAAAGAAAAACAACTCTTGGCGATTTTGTGTGGACTATTACCGTCTCAATGCCATCACAAAGAAAGATGTGTATCCGCTACCACTCATCGATAATGCTGTTGATTGTCTGCACTCAGCTGCATACTTTTCGTCCGTCAACCTAAGGTCTGAATACTAGCAGATACTAATGCATCCGTCTGACAGAGAGAAGACTGCTTTTGTCACACTTGATGGGTTATTTGAATTTAACGTTATGCCATTTGGCTTATGTAATGTCCCAGCTACCTTCAAACGATTCATGGACTCCATTCTTTGCGGTCTCAAGTGGGAAATATGTATCTGTTACCTCGACGACAAAATTATTTTCTGCTAGACATTCCACAAGCGCAACCAATGGTTAGCATTGTTCTAGATTGCGTCTAACAAGCTGGTCTCATTTTAAATGTAAAGAAGTGTCATTTTGGTGAGCGTCAAGCCCTTGTGCTCGTATATCTAGTCGACAGGGACGGTGTACGACATGACCCGCAAAAGATCAGTGCTGTCATCAACTTCAAGCAGCCAACGACTATGAAGGATCTTCAGTTGCTTCGTGGGCCTGTGTTCTTATTTTCGCCAATTTATTAAAGACTTCGCCCAGCTTGCTCATCCACACTCCATCCCAATGGACCGTTCAGGGTGAGGCTGCTTTCGAGCAGCTAAAGTATTTTACTTACTTCCGGACCCCTCTTGCGCTATTTCGACCCGGAGGCACCCACGGAACTGTATACAGATGCTAGTGGTATTGGCATTGGTGCCGTGCTAGTTCAGTATCTCGACGGCTGCCAGCACGTCGTTGCATATGCAAGCCGTACTTTGACTAAGGCTGAGAAGAACTATACAGTCGCCGAACTGGAATGTCTTGCGGTTGGTTTTGCCGTGGAAAATTTCAGACCTTATTTGCATGGCCGGCAATTCAAGATCGTCACAGAACATCGTTCTCTTTGTTGGCTCATCGGACTACGCGACACAGCTGGCCGGTTGGCTCGTTGGGCCTTGCGGTTTTAAGAATATAATTTTTCTGTGACCTACAAGAGTGGTCGATTCCACACACATGCCGACTGCTTATCTCGTCTTCCATCTCCGACTGTGGATGCTGATGATGATGATTTCGACAACTACCTGGCCGCAATCTCATCCTACTTCCCAAATTTGGACGTCTTCCGTCACGAGCAACAGCGTGACCCTTCGCTGAAACCAATGATTGATGTGGCTCGTTGCTCTAAACGCGCCACGCCATTTGTGATTCATGACGCCCTACTATATCGCAAGAATTACTCCAGCCATGGTTCCACACTACTCCTCGTCGTGCCAGAATGCCTGCGTCTTGCGGTATTCCAAGCCATGCACGATGACGTCATGTGTGGGCACCTTGGATTTGTCCGGACGCTTCGCCGTATCCGACAAGGTTTCTACTGGCCTCCACTCTGGAAGACCACCAAGCACTATGCCGCGAGTTGTGATGTATGCCAATGCCACAAACAGCCTACCACTC